TNTATATATATATATATATATNTATATATATATAATAATATATATATATATATTATATATATATATATATATATATATATATATAAATATATATATATANAGTTTTACAATCCATACATGCATCTATACCTAAGCATATTCGTCTGATTTTTCTCTTACTGAAGACAACTCCATAGAATTTACTATAATATGCTAATACGATGAAATATATAAGTGACGAAATGTGGACATGTTTATATAGTTCATACACACATACAAATACTATGTAGGGTATGGAAGTGGTAGTGTCTTTCCGAAAATATGATATATTTACAACCAACTTGCACTTCGTATTGTATTTGTGTACAACACGCAGAGACCACCAGGCGCCATGGAAGAGAATAGAGTGGCACTTAGACATAATTCATCAGGTCAAATGATTGTCTCTGGTGGAGACATGCCACCTATGATGCAATCGGACACTATTGCCTGGTATGTGTATAATCCTTTTTAATGAGCACGATAATAATTTCTCGTAGTATGTTCATTATTGCCAATGTCCTCTTCATTATTCTTGAAGTATATGCAAACCTATTATCTGTTTGAATAGACGTAATTTTTTTTCACACGAAGCTGAAATATAAGTTCATATTTGTTTGCGTTGCAGTTATGCACCTTTTGATTTAGGTTATTGGGGAGCATACGATTCGCCTGTCCCCTCTTATTCCTACTTTCAATTACTACTCTGTATGAGTTATTGATTGTCGGTTCGACCGTGTCGATAACTTCGGCTGGCTGGCGCGCTTGCATTTTGTTCGCAACATGCGTATGTGCACCTGATGAGCACCCACTGGCGTGCCGTAACCATGGTCTAGTCTATTAGCATACACTTTGACACAATTTCATACAACTCTATCAATCGCTTTTGCGCTATAGATCGCGTATGCCTATGTGTCCGGGTAAACACCCAATAGTTTAAACCCTACGACTCTACTACTTGCGTTGTCATGTAGGTTGCAAGATAACTACGTAACAGCAATGCACATAAGCATACCAAGGAATCTCTTACATACTCATTACTCCGAGTATGCGCTGTCCCGGGGGACGAGTCCAGCGAATGTCGCATCATTCGGAAAGATAATCCGGTCTGTATTCCCTGACCTGAAGGTATGTTGCTCGGTTGAGTTTCTGTTGGAGGTTCATGTAATACTGCACATTCTGCATGCTTTCTTCACAGCAGAAGTCTAGTGTCTGTGGAGTTGGTAGTCAGTTCACGATGTAGGTCGGCTTGTAATTACGTATAGTGGATAAGATCTGTACAACAGTCGACTGAGGTCAGGCTTCACAAAGCCCATTGTCAGCTGCCATTTTGTTGTACGAATCGGAAACTGATATTCATGGAAAATGTGGGCACGAAGGGCCTAATTTTTTATGTCTAGGTAGGTATGGTGTGTAGTTATATCCATCGGTAACATGCATGCGTAAAATCGGATATCCTTAAGTCGTGCATAACTAGCAATAGATCTATAGCCGAGTGTGCGTCCTGGTTTACGTATTCATTCCACGTTATTATGATTTTGCAAGATTGAACCCGAATGGGCCGTTCCTATTTCCGGGCTTAGTGTAACTGCAGAGTAGTACACCGTTGTTGTAGTACAGCTTTTCAGGAGAGGGGACCATAATCCTCAGCTGGAATTGTTTAGTCTGTGTGCGATTGAATATTCATACCCATGTACACATAGAATATCAGCATAGTATTGCTCACTCAAGATCCACTTTTACAAATGGACAGTCACTCGCGTGGGCATTGTTTGGAATTAAAGCTGAATCTTTGGAGAGATACGTCATTATGTCAGTGGAATGGGAGTTTCGCGAATGCACACCAGCCAATTTTTGCACTGCAGGCTTACTGAATTGTATGCACCTATGTATTCCGACCCGCTATATTGAGTCGCCAGCAACATCAATGTATATGCAGCTTAGAGTAAGGTATACGAACAGTACAGAATGGCGAATACTCCGTGCCACACGTTTCGCTCTACAATGTCTTCTATTATAACTGTGCAGAATTACGCATCCACCTTTGTTAATCCATGCGCAATAACATGTCCACTTTCTGTTATGAACAGACCCGAAGGTTAGGAACACGGGGAAAATCAAAGTACCATTATTACGGGATCAAAGCCAAAGACACGTCGCCATATCAATATGTCTATAGGAGGGGCGGTATAATTGGAGAGAATAATAACAAGGATGGCAGTTTATCGGATTCAGGGTAAGAGGTGGACGTGGTTGCGTAAGAATCTGCGCTGGGGTTTTAAGCGGGCACCCCGTTTTGCTTAATATATCGGTGTTTTAGGGGTATGACGGTACCTAGTTTTGGGTGTGTGTGTTGTATGCTGTCTAGGCAAGCATGCGTATGAATGTCACATTTAAGTTGAGATCATTTGCTCAAGAAGGGGACCGTAGAGCTTTCCGGCATCCGCAGTGCGCTTGTAGATGATTGATTTTCAGACGGTTAGTGGACGGTTGACATTGTGAAATGCGGATGAGATATCATTGTTCTCTGGACTCCATTGGTTATTCGATTCTCCTCCTTTTTTTTTTTGGTGAGAACGAGTATGAGCGATGTGACTGTAGGCGTCCTTTACTTGTGTATGCCTTGTGTTGATGTAGTAATGCCACCTGTTGTTTGTATGGGTCGATTAGTAGTAAGTACATCTACATATACAAACACAAGTAGTTCGCCAGGAGCAGACGCGCAGCCTGCTCGCCTCAGCTGATGGGCCACACTCACACGTATATGGCCGTGTAGGGTTTACGGTCGCTGTGCGCGTGCGTTGTGTATGCAATGAAACATGCACCAGTTGTATCCAAATATGACGGCAACCTATACAAGGATCTATGTGTTCAAAGTGCCACTTTGTCTATGCTCGGTCTATTCGATCGCCACAGTGACAGTCCGAAACGGATAGAAGACGGTAGCTTCCACGATGACAGTTCCGTGACAGCACAGGAGTTTCTGCCTGAGCGAGACCCTGAAATGGTGAGTATTTTTAGAGATAACCGCACATTTGACAAACAGCTTGTGGTTACCAACAGATGTATGTGAGGTTGCAGTCGATGTGTGTAAGGTTGGAGTAAACGTGTTGGTGATTGAATTACTACGGTGGTTGTGCTTCAAACAAGTATATGGCAGGATGTGTGCGTGGCGTTGCAGTCGATTCCTGTTTCGTATGGATGCGCATGATTGCTCACGAAAGTGGTTTTGATGGTGGCGTTTGCATATCGATTTGTTTTATCGATGTTTTGCACACAAGTCGTTTAAATTCCTTGAGAATACGAAATGTGATTACCTCTGGAACCACGCTTGCTTATGGTCTTATCATTAGTTAATACCCACTGTTATCTAGTTGTGCATATTTGCCCGATCCTACTGTTTCTCTTCGTAGTCTATGGTCACTCTCAATTCGGTACAGCAATCGGTGGCGGTAAGGTCCAGGCAAGCCGTTGTACATACTTTCAATAACTCTTATCAAATGACTAGTGAATATATTTATGCACACACACACACACACACACACACACACACACAC